TTTTTCTTCTGGCGTCAGATTAGATGTTCAAATCAAGCAGTGTTTGAGGGCTGGGAGGGAATGTCCATGGGATTCTTAGTGAGGCTAATCCCAAAGCAGCACATTCCAAGGGGCTAATCTGCCCAAGTTCATTGCTTACTTGAAACGTCTCTTGGGGGAAGAGCCAGGCAAGTGGCTTTTTTTCCAGTGGGCGGTCATAAGAGCATTATTAACGGGATGGCCAGCCCAGCTGCAGCAAAATGAAAGCAACAGGAGCTGCTCGGGGGACTGCCTTTGCCAGCACCCAGAGTCAGTGGGCAGGTAAAATGATTTCAGCTCACTTTTCTCTTGTTTAACTTCTCACTGTTGGATCTGGGGACCTAGAGGAAGACCAAAGCCCAATACCCAGAGGGGTGTTGAGGGAAAGGGCAAAATGGACCTAGGCATTCAGTACCTTTGGGTCTTTGGTGTCTTGTTCTGATGAAGGCAGGGGAGACATCTGAAACGGGAGAGTGTGGCAATGAGTAGCGTGGTGAAGTGTTCCTTGTAATTTGTTCCTGTAAAGTTAGCGGGCTCTATTTTTCTCATCTTGTGATTCCGAGCATAGTTTGTTGTCCTTCTGTTAAGTTGTCTTGCTAAAGGGTGGACTGCACTAGCTCTTCCCGAGGCTTTGTGGAGACGGGCTTCATACACATCTGTGTACGTACTCGTAAACCACCCCTACCTGGGGAAGTGAGTTCTTGACTGTGTGGCCGGTGGGGACTGCCTGGGAAAAGGGTCCAAAGTCGTTTGGAGACTAACATTGGTAGCAGAGTTGAACAGGAGTTAAAACCTGCTTAAATGAAGTGACTTATATCTTTTTCTTTTTAAAGCATTATTTACAGATTTTCTGTTTCTATCATTTTGACGCTTTATGGACTGTACATTTAACTTTCAAAATTAGTAGTTGCTTTATTCTTCGGGATAATCATTACACTTTGCTCAACGTGAATGTCCTTATTTTTGTTTTGAATATGATGTCTTTTAATTATTAGCCTTTGAAAACACTTTCCTCTTACACATCACACATGACTGATGATGCAGAAAGACGAGAGGGAGCACAGCCCTTCACAGGCTCGGTCATGGGTGTGTGATCATTCTACCTTCAGAAAAGAATGTGCAAAAGTGATTTTCCAAGAGACTATAGAGGCCATCTTTCCTAAAAGCACTTGAGACTTCCGGAGCATATTTTAAAAGAAAAAATTTTAAGACACAATATCTGTGGACATTTTGTATTAGAAGGAAATTAAAGGGTCAGCTGGAAACACAGCATGTTCAAACTACTGCATGCTTTCTAATAATGAGGGTAACCCTTCTGGGTTAACTTAGTTCCATGTTGCAGCAAAGTATAATGCTTCATTCAGAGTAGTTCAAGGCCTTTGAACAAAAGAAAAGGAAATTGGCTTAGGAAACAAGTTAAACCGTGATTATGCATTATATATGCCCTCTCTAGGAAAATAATTTTAAACATCTATTATCTGTTCACACAGATTAAAGATCTCAATAAAAGCATGCTAAAACAAAGGCCACAATACAGCATAGTCAATTATGCAGGACATTTTGTAGAATTCCTAATTCACATGTTATACATGAATTCTTTCTATTGTCTATCACACTTTCTCCTCCCCAAAGAATCCAGTTTCATTATAACTGAGGGAAAGATGTTTTAAATGTTCTGTTTCTCTTTTGTTTCCCTTCCAATTTTCGTTCCACCATGGAGGGAGTGGTTAATGTGCTAATAATAAGAAATATGAATTGGATCCTCAAACTGTTCTCTGACAATGAGGTAGCTTTTCCCCTTCGAGAAGGTAATTAAGTTGCTAAACTGTACACAAATCAAATTATTTTATATTTTAAGACTAAAAAACAAGCTGGCTATCCGTATGTACTAATTCTTACCACACACCATCTGACTGAAACTTCCAGGGCCTTCCGAGTTGACTCCAGGATTCCTGAGCAAGATAAATAAGGAAGGTGTCCTTGAAAAATTTAATCCATTTGTCATGGCCTCCCAGGACCCTGAAACTTAGGATTCTTTTTGTGATTTCATTTCTTTGCTATAGTCATTATAAAGGTTTACTTCTTGCTCTTGTTCTAATGTCTTCCTGAGGTCCCACCTTCATTTTTAACCCCAGAGAGTGAGAAAGAACAGAATGATGGAAAGTTCATTCATGTATACTTGAGGCCTGGGTGGGGGGGGGGGGCGAGAGGATGAGGAGAAAGACGCAAGCATGAACTAGATCTAAGACAAGTCCACATCTGTTCAAATGCCAGGGTGTTCCTGGGCATGCTCAGATGGCATCGTCTACTTCAAGGGTATTTAACATCAATAATGTCTGACGTGGAGAGCAGTTTAGCAGAGTCGGTAAGAGGGTGTTCTTGGGCAGCACCTGTGGCTCAAAGGAGTAGGGCACCAGCCCCATATGCTGGAGGTGTGGGTTCAAACCCAGCCCCAGCCAAAAACTACAAAAAAAAAAGGGGGGGTGTTCTCTGGAGTCAGAGTGCTAAACATCAGACCTCAAGTTTAAACCTTAACTTATTGCCTCTCTCTGCCTCTATTTCTACATTGTTAAAATGGATAAAATAACAGTCCCTCTCTCATAGAGTTCTAATGATAATCCATGGAAGGAACACACACATGACACAATTCCAAGCCCACTGCGAGTCCGATCACCTACGGAGCTCCTGCTATGGGCCAGGCGATTTACTTGACTCATCTGGTTTGGTAATCACAAAAACCCTTCAAAGTATCTATGATTATCCACAAGTTGTAGAAGAGATTCAGAGGAATTAAATAACTTTTCTATATTCCTTGTTAGTGGCCAGCCAGGCACTATCCTTCCAACACAAAGGAAGATCAATTTAGGTCTGCTACAGCAATTTCATAGTATGCTCATTTGAATCTTCATCTCAACTTTTAGTACCAAATCCACCTAGGAAGGGTCCCTCTTCTTGGAGTAAAATTATGGTGCCCCCAACAATGTATTACTGATACTCCCATTTTATAGATGAGGAAAACTGAGGATTCGAGAGAGCATGTGACTTTCTCCATGCCTCAGAGACCAATTCACACCACTTTTCTAACTGCAAACATCATACTCTATCCATGATATAGTTTTTCCCACTGTCTCTTGGGGAGTATTGGTCAGCACTCCTTAAAATTCCCAGATGCTCCCTCAAAAGATCCTTCTGAATACTGGCCAAAGTGGGGCACAGAAAGAAAAGCACATTCTCCCTTATTTACTCCCCAAGGTGTAGGAAAAGTTGGTTTCAGATATCCAGTGAGGGACATTTTACGGTCTCTCTGCCAAGAGATATTATCAATGCAAGTATTCAGTGACTAGAGAAAATCACAGCCTATGAATAGTTTAGCTTACAGGATTTTTACAAAGATAATGATTGGTTATCTACGCTGCTAAGCTTTTGCAAAGAAATAGCCACTACTTTTAAATATATATTTGTAAAGAAAAGCCTTTGAGGAGAGACATTGGGACTTTTTTCATGTTTAGCTAATAAAAACAAAACTGCAAATGCTACCTTTGTGGTCTAAGGCTACAGAGGCCAGCCTGCACTGGAGGGTCTCTGACGGAGGGTAGGTGATCCTTTTCTTGGGGACAATGCACAAGTGTACAAGTGCCTAGACATTATGGAACCCAGTTGTGACCACAGGGGTCACAGGATGAAACAGGATGCCCCTCAATCACCCCTCATATTGCTACTTATAAATGTGTGTTGCCATGAGCCTTAGCACCTACTACCTTTAGCGCCACTTGCATAGACACCCTTGTAAGAGAGGAGGGGGGAGGTGCGAGACTGAAAGGTTGAGGGCCAACGGGAATACAGCACAGCTTTTACAGATACGTGAGTCACTGGCAACGCCAAGACCAATTAAGGCCAACAAATGGGGGCTAGTAACAGTTACCGTCCATCATTGAGGCAGATCAAGGAAGTGGTTTAGTTGGGCCTTAGCCGTACATCTACGTATTTTGAAACTATGAGTTTAGTGTTGATGCTGGGTTAGTGAGATGGTGCCATATAGAAATAACATTACGGGTTGCTCTAGCAACTTCCATCTGAAATGTTCGGAGAAGGAATCTTTTGAGCAGTTTATTGGATTTCATGGGAGACTCATCCACTACTTCAGGTGTGGTGAAGAAGGGGATGAAGGGATGCAGGATGGACCTTGCCTTGGAACAAAGATTGTGCAGTTTGGTGGAACATCCTTTGTCCATAAGAACCTAATCTCAGTGGCAGCACTTCTGGGAGGATAGTCCCAACAAGGTCCATTCTAAGAAGCTGCATTTGCTGTGCTTAAAGAAATAAGGGATTAAAAAAAAAAAAAACACTAATAACTACGAAATTTCAGACTATAAAAAAGACATTTATCTTCCTATGTTTCCATTTCCAATTGTTTTCCTCTGTACTTAAGCACTGCTAATTTGGATTTTAGAAAAACCGTGGTGATAGATTGGGGCTTTTGAGTTATGTAATTCCCTTGCTGTTTTTATTTCCTTCTACAAGGAAAATCTAATAGAGGTGTCAGCTGCAAAAACCTTATACTTACTTAGACATATTTCTTCCCACTACTGACGATTTGTTTTCTGTAAGTTTACAAATATTCTGTTCTATCCCTACAAGTTTATTTTCTCTATAAATAGTATTATATTTCTATAAAGTAATAATAATAGTATTGTCTAGTCCTATAAAAATCATTCTGCATTTGTGTATGATTCCATCAGTAACATTATTTTGATCATGGCCATTTCCTTTCACTCTCAATTAACAATGTTAAATATCTTAATCAGCAGATTCAGGGAGTAATTGATTTTGTTATATGCCGTGTTTCTGGGGGAAATAATCCCAATTTCAATTCCGTTTAGGAACACTCGTGACTAGTTCATTATGTGATGATGAAATTTTGCTTTTTAGTTAAAAATATTTAGAGGTTGTGCTCACTTTTCCTCTTTTATTTTCTTTTTCAGGCTCAGAAATCCTGGATAGAAAGAGCATTTTATAAAAGAGAATGTGTTCACATCATACCCAGCACCAAAGACCCCCATAGGTAATCTTGCTGTCTCTAATGCCTTGTGAACATGAAGCAGTAATTACAGGAATAAACTGCGAGAGTAATTCCCATGTTGAGGGACGCACTGTCAAATTAAAGGTCTCCTTTTTAATTGTTGCTGAACATCTTTGATGCGATCTTTTATATACACAGTATATAACATGCCATGGTTACAGTAAATTCTTAGTCTAAGAGCCTTTACAGAATAACGTATATACCATTGCAGAAGGAATTAATTATTGTGTGTAACAATGGGTTATACATTTTTTGGTATGGTTATTGATTTTCTCTCCTAAGCATTTCATCCAAATGCTTCATTTGTATCAGCATGCTCTGCTACAGGTAAAAAGATTTTTAAGTGAAAGACTTCTAGCAGATAACTAACTAACTGCAGACCTTCAGATGTCCGTTTAAGTACATTTTTAGTGTTCTTTATGCCTTTGTGAAGACATAGGGAGGGAAGCATTGATGATGAAGTAGCATATGGGTATCTAGAAAAAGCTTTATGAACAATTTAATAACCCAGTTTAAAAGTATGTACAATGGAGTCTTAGAGACGAGCTGTGTAACCTTGGGCAATTGTTAGTGTTTAATAATGGTAATTACATATTGTACTTGTTATTACTAATGGTCGTAATAGTGGTAGTAGTGGTGTATAAGGGACATTTTCATGATATAGAAGGAACAAAGTCTGACTTTTCAAAAATCTCATGAAATTTTTTTCGTTGTTTTTTCAAGAACACTTAAGCCTATAGATTTTTATTCTCAGAATTGGATATTTGACAGCAAATGTCAATTGGGAAGAGACAGGTTTGGTCGTGACTCACATATAAGTGAGATTCCTCATTTAAAGGTGCATGTTAAAGTTCTTCCCTTGAAGCTCTTCAGTGTCCTTCATGCAAAATGTGATGGACAAGTGGAGTGAAAAGGAGCGAAATCTAAAGGACTTGTGTTTACAGATGTCCATTCTTGAGCAACGTGCCAGGTGCAAAAGGGATGGATGGAGAAGGGGAGGAGGCATGTTACAGCTTAGGTAGCTAACGGAAAACAGGGAGAGAGGAGAAAAGGAAGGATATGTATGTCACAGAAAGCCTGTCTGCCGTTTCTACATGATGGAATTCTACCTAAGAATTGACTGAAATAGGTCAGTACAGATTATAGGTTTCTCCAGCAGGTTGTCTTCAATTTCACTTGTGGCTAATCCAAGGAGTTCACTCAGATCTCTTCTGTTCCAGGTGCTGCTGTGGGCGTCTGATAGGCCAGCATGTTGGCCTCACTCCCAGTATCTCTGTGCTTCAGAATGAGAAAAATGAAAGTCGCCTCTCCCGAAATGACATCCAGTCTGAGAAGTGGTCCATCAGCAAACATACTCAGCTCAGCCCAACAGATGCTTTTGGGACCATTGAGTTCCAAGGAGGCGGCCATTCCAACAAAGCCATGGTAATCAGAATGCCATTCAGTCATTCCCAGATGCTCCTGTACCTCCTGCAGAGGTGTAGTAAACAGCCCAGGATTAGGTCTTTGGGCCTAATCTCAAATCTGCCTCTTTCTGATGTGGGGCAACCTACTCCAAGTTCTCTGCCCTTGAGTGTCTCAGCCATTCCTCTGTAAAATGGGGGGACGAAAACCTTACTCCTAGGATTTCTTAAATAATTAGTATGAGATTAGACACAGTGACTATTATTAATTATAAAAGAAATAGCTTTCTATAGTTATCCACTATTTCTTTTCTGAGCCTTGATCATTACAAAATATTTTCCTAATTCCCTTTCCCCTCTTTGGTAAAAAATGTTACCTTTAAGTTTCTGTGTTTGTTCTATCGGTATTATTTCTCTCATTTCAAGGTAGAAATGACCATCCCTGCCTGTCCTTCCGTGTTCTAAGAGAGTTCTTGTTATCCAAATTGAGTGCTTTTCCTCCAAGCAGCTGTGTTCAATAATATTCTCAGCGGAAGGGTTCCATATGAACAGCATTTGGGGGAAAAGGGAGGATTTTAAAAGATACACAAGTTTTACTTCTAATCATTGTCACTTCTAAATTTCAGGTTTCATCACAGACTTCTCCCTATTTGGCTGACAGATTTTGCCAAGAGAAAAGTCTAGCATGTGTTTTGGAAATTCTGGAAATGCTCATCCAACAAGCTTGCTTCTGATTGTTAAAAGACAGACAGAAATAGCTAAGGGTGGAACAGTAGGAGGTGGCTGGTCTTACCTACGCCCTGGAGTTTTCTGAGCTTGGAGAGGAGGCTTTGCTTAGCGAAGTACAGGGGAATCGTCTCACGCTAGTTGCAGTCTTAACGTGTGCGATAAGCCACCGCGCTCCTCTTTTCTCACTTCTCCCCTCCCTTGCTCTCTCCTCTTCTCCCTCCACTGCGGTAATTCCCTCACCGAGAATGGCTCATGAAATTATTCTCATAGTTCTTCTCTAAGTAAATTAATTTTGAGATAGACATGTATTATATTAAATTAAAACCGATTTTGAGCTACATTTAGAAAAGAAAAAGATACTATTTGCACCCTCCAGCAAGTCTTATAAAAACAACAAAGGGGTTATATAGAACCCCTATGGCTTATCTAGAACCAAGGGAAATGGAGATCTGTCAACGTCCTCTCCCACTTAGGGGCTCTCTTTGCCCACACAAAATCATTAAATGTCCCCAAATTTGTACAGTCTCTGTTCACAGGAAGAGCCCGAAGCATGTACAGTTAGATTCTCTGGAGCTGGGCATTAAAAGTCATACACATTCTCCCTGCAAGAAAAGCCATCGTTGTCTCTGAGGAAGGAGCTTCCCAGCAGTAGTCATTGTACAGTGGCATACCAGTGTCACTGCAGATCTTAAATGGTGCCTGCAAGAACCTGCCATAAGCCCAGTAGGCATATGATTATTATCTGGTCCTCATGTCTGTTAATGTTCAGTATCAGATATGGAGCATGAATAAGTAAGAATATCCCTCCAAAGTCATCACCTTATCAAGACTCTAATTGCCATGACGCGGCCATTGTCCTAATGTGCATTGATCTGTCTGTCTTTTGGGGACTGATTTCAGCTAATTTATAGATCACAGGAGAAAAACAATCTATATTTTCATCAAATTATAGTTTTAATAGAAAAATTAATCTTAAGTTCTTGAAATTCACAAAACCTAGAACTTAACCACAAATAACTTCTGCTAGCTTTAACAAGTCCAGACTATTCTCTAAAGATAAAGTTTTACACTTATTAAAAACATCGTTAAAATGACATATTAGTTTAGTAGTGAAAAGTGTTGATTCTGGATTCAGATCGTCCAAGTATAACCCAGAGCCATCATTTAAAAACTGTGACATTGACAAAGTTACTTAAATTTTCTGAGGCTCAGTAATTTACCCTGTTCTATAGATTGTGGCTACCACTATCATAAAACATTAAATCAGATGACATATGTAAATCATATGGCACAGTCCTGGTCATATATAGATGTAAAATTAATGTTGCTGCTATTTATATTACTATCATCATTACTTCTGATTCTGAAAAACATTGCAAAAACATTTTGACTAATACTATGGAGGACCCTCACTTGGATGTGTATGTCTTAGCATATTATTTTATATTAGAAAGTCCAACTATCCTTTTTTTCAGTTAATACTTATAAATAATTCCAGAAGCTCTGACCTGTTAGCCTACTGGTTGACCATGGAATCTTAAAAGCCACATCACATTTTATTTATAGCCTAGGTGTGTCACATATTAGCCATGTGACTCTGTCAAGTTTACTTAGCTTCCCAGTGCCTCAGTTTCTTCGCTAGTAAAATGGGCGTAGTACTTTCTACATCATAGAACTGTCTCAAGGACTAAACGAGTCAATATATGTTAAGTGCTTAGAACAGTAGGAAAGCTAATTAAGGTTTTGCTATTGTTGTTACTTCTACAAAGAATGACTATAGCTAAGAGAGAGGCTTTGTGATCAATTAAAATAGAATGCATAATCTTGAAGTCAGACAGGACTGAACCTAACCCTCACTTGCTCAATGTCTAACTAATAAGTTTTGGTTAAACCATTTAACTTAATTACACCTCAAGTTCTTTTATCTATAAAGCAGGCATGGTTACCTTACTTGATGTGTATGAAGATTAGAGAGGAAAGAAAAAGCAACTGGTATGCAGCTAGTGATCAAGACATTTATGAAAATAATGACGACTTAAAACAATAACAGAGTGAGCAGTAGTAGGTTTTGGGGTTTTTTTACTATTTTTTTTTTACTTCCTATTCAAAGAGATGTGAGAAGATTTCCATGGGAGTACCAGGGTGCTCAAGTCAGCAAGTGACTGCTCTGTTTTATTGAACAGTGGCATTGATGACAGTCACTCGCAGAAGGATGGTGCTGTGAGCACCAGCCCATCACTGATGGAGACATATGGTCTGTGAATTACCGCAGACCTACACTGACTTCCGCATTCGGTCAATTTCTCTATTTATTCCACCAAAACAGAAAGCGAGTTACTGTTACCTGTGTATGCCTCAGAAATTAAACAGCTGCTGTGGCTGGGTTATTATGATGGACAAAGCCAAGATTCCTTCTCCTTATTTAATTTTTCTCTATATGAGCTTATTTCTCCTCTTGAAAATCTCTTGTGGATTTGAGAAATACTAAGAATCCTATAGACTGAAACTCCAAATGAGTTTATTAGTGTGTTAACAACTCTAAATGTGTGTTAATCAAAATACTTTTGCAATTGCTTTCACAATCTGTAGCAAATTGACAATGATAGTTGTAATAATAGCAGCTAAAATTCATTCAATGTCTGTTGTGTCCCTGGCACTATGCCAAGTACTTATCTATAGTATCTCGTTTTATGTTTATGACAGGAGTAGTAGTATTCCTACATGAAAGAGGAATGCACTGAGGCCCAGAGAGGTTAACTAATGTATGCCATGTCACACAGCAAATATGTACTATATTTATATTATGCCATTTCACAGTGGAAGAAAAGACTCCAAAAGGCAGATATATTTTTCACTCTACTCCAAAGGGTGGATGCATGTGGACACTGAACTTTGACAGCCATCCTCAGGTCCCACAATGAACCCAGAGCTGTTTGCTAGTGATCAGGTTAGGCAAGGTCAACTACAAACTTTGTGGAGCCCAGTTCAAAATGAGAATGTAGGGCCCCAACAGGGACAGGGGAAACCAAGTCCCCCTTTCCGTGGCTGGCAGCCCCAACTCTCAGGGAATGGGTGGCCCCTCCCCCACCAGGATAAAATCTCCACACTAAGGTGCTTGGTTTCTGAGAGGGTACCAACTTCCTGCCAAGTGACCCACAAACAGGCCATGCACTGCCACCTCAAGGCACAGAAGCTGCTTCCTTCTCCTCATCTTAAAATGTTACTGACCATACCCCTGACCCTGATCAGCAAGGACACAGGCCATGTGAGTAGAGGCTCTAGGCCCCTTACATGTGCTCCTCTATCCCATCAGGCTTCATTTACCAAGTTCAAGGACAAAAGTATCAAGAATTTTAAGACCACAAGTGCACAGCAAGGAATCCCAAGTGCTGCCCTTCTGAGCAGTGTGCCTATACAGGTCACAGGCCCACAAAGCCAGCTCAGAGTACAGGGCTGCCCCAGATGGTCTCAGAGCAGATACCAGGAGGGCAAATCTTTATTTCTCAGTCTAAGCAGCCAAATGGAACCAGTTTTTCTTTTATTAGAATCAAATATTGAACAAGTGGAAGTTCCAGCTATTTATCCACAAACAAATGAGCACTTTGTCCACTCTGAAAACTTGCCCTTGAATTATTCTGTCTCTTTTGTCTAGACAAAGGGGTTGAGCTGTCTGAAGGTCAGCAGTCTCGTTTTATCAGGCAGGATATCCTTCTGTGCCAGGCTGTGCCTTCTTTACCTCTCATCCTCTCAAACGAACCAGCATGCAGTTGGGACGAAAGAAAGTCAGCAGCTAATCTGTTAGAGTTCCAGCCTTCATACATGGAAGGGATGGTTAATTATTCACCAAGATTTGTCAGATGGGCCAAACTTTTTTTTTTAATTTCAGATTAGTATGAGGGTGCAAATGATTAAGTCATTTGTGTTTATTAGATAAAGTTCAAGTTGTAGCTGAGCCCTTCACCCAGCGGAAGTACCATATACCTCTACCTTGTGCCCTGTAGGTGACAGCTTACCAATCCACCTCCCTCCTCATCTCTCCCCTTTTCCTTCTCCCCCCAATTGAATTTAATTGTGTTTTCCTGGAGCAGCGCCTGTGGCTTAGTGGGTAAGGTGCGAGCCCCATATACCGAGGGTGGCGGTTCAAACCCAGCCCCTGCCAAACTGCAACAAAAAAATAGCCGAGCATTGTGGTTGCTGTGAGCTATGATGCCACAGCACTCTACCGAGAGTGATATAATGAGACTCTGTCTCTTAAAAAAGAAAAAGAAAAGAAAAGAAAAAAAATTGTGTTTT